GTCTATGAAGTAGTTATCGTGTGGCCAAGCCTTCTTGGCTGGGCAATCCGCCTGCAGAGGGTTGCAATCGGGCTCGAGTTGACCATTTGCAAGCTGGGACACGAGGCTCAGCACGGCCAGTAAAGTGGTAGATTTGTTTTTTGGCATAATGATGACCTAGCAAGGGTCTTGACGATGTGAGTATTGGTGTTATCGTTGCAAAAGAAAGTTCCCAACCCCGACAGCTTGCATTTTGGCAGTGCATATCACTAGGTTCCGCAATAAAGACTCATTGATGACAGACATTATCGAGGGGCGGCAAACAATGTCAAAGCGATGTTGAAAGAGACGAGGCGCCGTTCCCGATCCGGCAAATAGTAGGTCCTGGCATCATTGTATCAATAGAGATGATGGCTTTCCTTGGGGACAAGGTTACCCGATCTTCACATAATAAGCCATTGAAGAATTAAGATTAGCAGGATCGACTTTACAATGCTGTTGCAAAACCATTTTGGCATAGAGAGGCAACTGTGACAGAGCAAAGACTCATGAACATGGAGACTGCTTTGTTATACACGTTGAAACATATCTTGCCTTCTTCGGTTCCACCTCATCCTCATTTCAGGGCCAAATGCCCAAGGCGCTGTGCCATAAGGCCATCACTGTTGCAATGTAGGCAGCGCTTTGAAACAGGGTTTCCTTTTCGTTTTATATTTGATCTGACCCCAAAGCTTTGTTAAATTGGAAGTAGAACGTGCTTGTTCCAAGTTGGCTTTAGGGTAATGGAAGTGAGTCGGTCATGAGGTTATTACCGCTGTTACCTCTTCCAGGCGGTTGGCGATGGCTATGCACCCATAATCGCACGAAGGCTCTGATGCCACATGTGCGATGTATGTGGGATCGTCTCTGTCTAAAAGTTAAGATAGCACCTCGTGTAAGAGACGACAGACAAGGAAAAGTGGAGTTGGTTAGAGGTCTTGGCACGCTGTCACCTCTACAGTTTACAGAGGCGAGAGGTACCTACTGTTTCATCTCATGGCCCCAGTCCGGCTTCCACGTTGTTCCGTTTAGGTGGTTGCCCCGCCGTGCGACGGGAGGGAGCTTTGTTTGCCTTGCCACTTTCAGAAAGCCCTCGTGTGGCACATGCAGTTAGGTATTCGAGCCCTGGTCCTATCTGCAATCCTTCGTCAGCACCCTCGGCGCCCTCCAGTTAGTTGCTGCAGCATCTCACTGCAAGCACTTGCGACAGAGCCGGGCTGCAGCCGGATGGCGGCTGCCCACCTGCGCCCTTGGCTGCCTTGGCTTCCGAGACTCGAGAGAGAACCTAGAACCCTCTCTTGCCTCGACTCACTGGTTGAAGCCCTACGGCATGCCAACCCCAAAGCCTCACCCATACTTTTCATCGTCCCGTTCTCTCTTTGGCACCTGTTGCCTTATTTTCTTAGTTGTTCTACGGTGCTCCCATACCTAGTAACGTTAGCTCTTTTTGTTGGCCTCTCATCATCATTGTTTGCCCCTTGCCGCACAAATAGATGTACGAGTACTTGTACACTTCGCATTTACAGCCAAAAGCGTGATTCTCTCTTCGTCTGAATTCTTTGCGTGAATCAGTCCCGCACCAACCAGCCAACGTCTACTGCACGTGCCAACATCAACACCACCATGTGCGCAGCCTTGTGACTGGCTGATATCATATTACCTCTCATTGTTCTCTATGTTTCTGCGCCAACAAATCATGCTATAAATCGTTTCTCGTAGTCTTTGCGCCTAGCATATTATACTTCGACCACTGTCTCCCCCACGGCCGCCACGCCTAGCTATTTGCGACGACCATGGGTCTGTTCGGTAAATCCAAGCCGCTGGCTATGCGCGAGGAAAGCGTAAAAGTTGTCAAGCCCAAACCCAAACCCAGCTCCTCAAATCTGAAAGCGCACACCTCCACTGCCCGACGCTCTCCCGCCGTCAGCCTCGGGCCCAACTCTCGCACACCAAGACCCAAGAGCTCCTCACCGTATCCCAACTCGTCTGACGAGCGGAAGATCGAGCGAAAGCGCAAAGCTGTCACAATCACTCCACGCGACTCCCCCGCCTTTGGCAACGACAGCGATTCCGAGGACGAAGATGGCGACCCCTTCAAGAAGCGCGTGCGACGAAACGACGGCCGGCCAATAGATTTGAACCGCAAGTTGCGGCATAGAAAAGGGTTCGGCGATGACATCAGGAAAGTCGACATCATACACGCCGCTGACATGGCTTCACGGGCAGCCGGCTGCCCCGCTATCCCTGGCGCAAGGGACAACGAGGTCGCGATAGAGGTGCAATACCCATCGCGGTGCGTGCGCGAGAGGTAGGGAAACCCCAACCAACAAGACACAAAGTGGCCACAAATACTCATACGGGAATGCAGATACGAGCTGGTATGGCAAAAAGATAAGATCGACGCTGTCAAAGACATCCTCGCCATTTTAGAAGCTGTGGCCGAAACTTATGTTCCTCCTTCCGATTCCAAGGCATTCATCGATCACAACACAAGCTTCAGAAGACAAATGGAAAGGGCTGCGAGCGAAAAGTATAGAGACGTGCCGGCCTTTCGCGAAGCCCTCAGTGATTACAATAGGAAGCTATCAGAGCTAGTCAAGAATGGCACTGTCGCAAAGTGCCTGGACCAGGCCCATCACCTCCCCCCTAGCCTTGTTTCCCTGATCCTCACCCAAGTATACGATCGTACAGTAGCCCCTAAGGTCGAGATGCTCACAAAGTACGATGCCGGAAGCGACAACGTGTATGGGGAGTTGCTACATCCTTTCATCACCAAGATTCTGGTTGACCATTGCAAAATGACATCCGACCAGGTTTTTGTCGATCTTGGGTCGGGCGTTGGCAATGTTGTCCTCCAAGCTGCACTTGAAATCGGCTGTCGCAGTTACGGTTGCGAAATGATGAATAACGCCTGCGATCTGGCCAAGGCGCAACACAGGGAGTTCCGGCATCGGTGCCAACTCTGGGGAGTGCAACCTGGAGAAGTGCATCTCTACCGGGATGACTTCTGCAAGAACGACCAGATTCTGAAGATATTGAAAGAGGCAGATGCGATATTGGTCAACAATAAGGCATTCACGTCCACGCTGAACGACATGCTCATCAACATGTTCCTCGATCTGAAGAAAGGCTGCAAGATCATATCTCTCAAGTCTTTTGTGTACGACAACGGGAACAACGTCAATGACGTCGCCAGGAGTATCCTCGACGTTGAGCAGTTCCGATACCATGAGAATTGGGTGAGTTGGACCGGCTCAGATGGCGATTACTACATCTCAACCAAGAAATAAGGTGGTCTCTGGCTTTGGAGGAGGGTATGTGTTGGCTAAGACGTCATTAGCGTGTGTTGATACTAGAGTATGTGGACAAAAGAAAGAAAGAATAGAGACTAAGAGGATACGATGTTTCGGCATGAGACGCAGAAACTTGCAAGCATGGGCTGGAGCTTGGAGCGAGAATTTTGTGTTGTGTCGGACACTTACTGTATAGACGACGAACTGCGAATGATACCAGGCATAGCAATGATTATGATATTACAACCTCATGCTTCATTGTGTCGTCACCTACGAGTGCTGGGTAATTCATTTTGACGGTTCATCGCATCAGCCTCATGACCCATCCTCTTCATCCAACGGTCCACGAGCTCCTTATTCTCGGTCTGGACCTTGTCGACTCTTTGCCCAAGCACGTTGAGCTCTATTTCAAGTGCCAGGTTCTTGTCTTGGACGTCCTGTGGGACCACGTCAGCAAGCACTCGTTATACAATAATCCCACAAGCATTTGCGAACGTCATGACGCGAAGTAACCTGCGCCTTATCCCCTTCGTGCACACCGCATATTCATCCCACTCACGTCAAAGCAACAACGGCGCATCCTCCTCGCAAACAAGCCAATGGACCGACAAGGCACAGCACCACGTACCTTGACTAGTTCGCTTTTCTCATCAAGCTCCTCCTTCCTATCCCGCAGTTTCGCCAACAACGCGTTACGTTCGGCAGTGAGATCGCTGATCCGCTTGCCGTCGACCTTGGACTTGGACCGTAAATGCGCTAGCTCGGACTCAGCTGCCTTGAGACGTGTCTGCGCCTGCCCACGACCTCGGAGTGCCTCCGCCAGATCTCTGCGCAGCTCTGCTGCTCCCTCTGACGTGGTCGTGGGGTCTGCGGGAGTCCCTTTCGTCTGTGGTTTTGCTGTTAGGTTGGATGAGACGGTCGGAGCAGCCAGGGCCGCTTTCTCGGCCTCGAGGGCGGCTACGCGGTCGGCGAGCTGGGAACCTTGGGGCGAAGGATTTGCGTCAGTCTGATTGAGAACTCTTGGTTTGCCACTTGGAGGTAAAATAAGGCCACAGCCGTGGCTATGAGATCTGTTTGGGTGATGGATGATGCAACGGGAGCTATACGAGGTAGGCTTACAGGCTTCGACCAAGTCCTTGTTCACTGGATTGTTACGCTCCACCTCATGTAATGAGTCCAGATATTCCTCTCTCCAATTAGGCATTGTAGCTGTGAGGAGGCCGTTTACCTTTCAAGATGGTACCGCATGTTAGGAGTAAGACAACAGAATGTCCGCCAGATGCCTACTAGAGCTGTTTGGCGGGGCTGGAATTTGGAGGCTGAAGCAGAGAGATGATGTCTCTGCTTTTGGCGGGGTACCTAGGTAGTTACATCAGCTTCGGATCCCTCCGGTCGCGATTGCACGACAAAAGCCAACCCGCAGAGAGACTAAACGTGTAGCAAATGCACATAGAACAATGCAAAGGTTCATTGAAACTAGGTATATTTCTCCTGCACTCATACGCTGTCTGTAAGGCAGCTGCAGTCTATACTCTGCCGGCCTGAAAGTTCACACAGCTAGAGGAGCCGTTCACATTGTCATATTCTACTGGAGTTTCCAGCTTTCCTTCTCTAATCTCCATCATTGGTTGAGAAAAAAAGTACATGTAATATCAAAAATGGAATGAACATATGAATTCTGCAAAAGATAGTCCCGAAGGCGGGTCGAACGCCTGACCTTAGGATCTGCAATCCCACGCTCTACCACTGAGCTATCGAGACAGGTATCTGCTGGATGAATGTCAGCGGCCGTTGAGGATTTACATATTTCAGATCTTTTCGAGCCCCGCACTCGCTGAATCAAACCCCCACATCATGCACTACATACACGGTCCTCCAGTATTAAAAAGGTGAATTCATTTGACTTAGGTCAATTAATGATTCCAAGTGGAAATACTGAGAAGAACACCCACTGGAACGATTGTGAACATTGCGCAGGATTATCGAGTTGACCGCTAGCTTTATATGTGGAAGATACGGGTATGTCCTGGAAACACTCAACTTCTCGTGATTTGTTTCAACTTCTCTTGGTCTGGTCACTGCAGTGGATGAACGGGTAAGCATAGGAGAAGTCTGGCATACATTTGGAACCTCTGTTGGCTAGATAGTCTAACCGGCGTATCACTCTGTACTACGGACCAGACTGTCAATCAACCTGATCTTCATAGAATTCCCACTTCTTCTTTTTCTTAGGTAGACATCCAGGCCCAGACTGCCCCCTTCCATCGTCATGGTTGGCCATGCGGATACGCTTGCGCACACCGAGATCATGGAAGGTTGTATAACCTACTTACATGTACGGTGCAAGATGGCACTACAGGCCATGATCTGCGCTTGTTCTCTCATGTGTTGGCCAAGCCGAGAAGCGATAATAGGTTGCAGCTTTGGCTTGAAACATGGCTGGCTCTGGGTCGGTTATACAGCTTGCCACTAATGCGATCCTATCCGGAGACATACTGAATAAGAAACGGGACATGATGCTTCCACAAGATACATATGTACATTACCGTGGGGTGGGGGGTATACAAGACGGTCTCGGGCATTATGTTCGCATTCAAGTCAGTCATGCCACACCGAATAAGTCCTAGATTTTCAAGACAATAGCCAGTACTATCCTCTACTATAAGTTGTCATAAATAGCTAAAATCAATTCGGAGCGAACACTGCTTCCGGAATTAAGCCTATTTTATACGGTACGCCGTCACCACCACTTAAAGCCGTCACCACTACTTAAAATCGTCTCCGAATCCCAAGATCGTCTTTATCGCTAAAATCCCACCAAAAAAATACGTACCCCGTTATTTTATAACTTCCAAATCATAATATATATGCCGTTTCAGTCTTTTTTTCCGTATATATAGATTAAATAACCCTATAACTCAATTAATTACTTCTATAATACCGTAATTCCAATACTTCGTAAACGTAGTATTCGATTCCCGTACTTAATATAATAAGTTTTTTTTATAAATAGTATACAAATAGCTATACCGACTATACTATATAAAATAAGTAGTTTAACGGGTATAATAATAATTTTTCCTGCTAAAAGCCTGCTTTAAAATCGTTTTAAATTTTTAAAATCGCATTCAATTTCCAAAATCGTCTCTAATATCTAAAATTACTTCCGCCATATATTATCTTATACTAAATACCTTCTTACGCGTTTAAAATTATCACGTATCCGAAATTACCACTCTAAAAAAGTTATCAAAAACACAGCACCAAACCAAAACGATCCTAGAAGCCTGAAATAATGCCCGGGATAGTCCTGTATACCCCCCTCCCCACGGTAATATATGCTGAGAACATTCTAATTAGCCGAGATGTCCTGCCTCTCGCCCCCCCTGCTATCTCAGTTAGAAACTTTAGTCTTGCGGGTGGTCACGCATGTAAGTTTGTACTGGGTTCAGAAAGGATAGCTCCTTTTAAGAGCTTGGCAAGTCTATCCTGCACGAAGATGCCATATAAGAGACGTGCATAACAAAACTGATACAACACCATATCCTCCGACGCACAACATTTACGACACACAGCGCCGAAATGCTATCGAGAATCTTCCAAGGGACCTCTTCAACAAAGCCACAATGGGCATCATCGGCTAGCGAAGTTGCTGGTGGTAGCTAAGGCCAGCTCGCCAGCCCGCCAGCCACACAATAAGACTACGAGTTTGAGATCCTTATGCATGGGTCAATAGTGCAGTATGCTCTTGATTCGCTGATAGCCGGCCGAAAGAGCAAAGGCCAAGACTCGTGGATTCAAGTTGGAGTCATGATGAGTTGGCAGTCTGATGCATTGACGAAGACTGGGCTGACGGGTCTTGATATTCTGGGGTGTCCGAAGCTATACCTGGTACCAGACCAACAAGTACTCTCATCTACTTCGTGTGACTCCGCCCATGTCTTTCTTAGCTGTGTACATTAGGTACGTACATGTGTACATGTAGCTATAGGTAATCGAGCAAGTACCTAAGGGGGGGACCCCCCTTTTTGGACATGCTGTCAGCATGCCTGTTAGGCCTCGGACACCGTACAGGCGTAACACGTGAGTTTTAACCTTTTGTATCCAGCACTATGTTGCTTCGACATTATGGTACCTGCAAACTATGGTGTCGAATATACCACTATACAAGGCCTTGTATAGTGGCTTTTTCGACATGGCTGCTGCGAAAGACCTTGCATTCGAATTAGTTACTATGTTGCGTACTTAATGGTGGCTGCTACAGTACTATGGTACCGTCAGGGCCATAGTGGGTAGGGGTCCGTAATGTTAACCTAGATACGATGTTGAAATTTCAGCGATGTTGGCACTCTAGCACTCTGTTGGCACTCTGTTACAGCCTTGACACTCTGCTGGCGGCCCTGGGTTAAAAAGTCAAAAAACAACGCCGACCACCTACCACCTACTACCTCCTACCACACTATATATTGGTGACCTAATACAGCACGGTATACAGCAATTAAAACAACAATCACTTGCAAGGTCTACGATTCGAACAGTCTACTTTTACGGGCTACGATTACGACTTACCACTAGGCTACGGTACACGGACTACTATACGACCAGAGCTTATCCGGAATCTATATACCAGGGTCCAGCGCATTGTACAAATCTATCACCAGGTAGTGAGGCTACCAGGCCTAAAGTCATGGCCTTCGCAACACCAAATTTCGTGCTAACATCGCGATATTGGGCCAACATCGTGGTAGCCGGAACATGGTGGGGCCGTGTCGCAGTCGATTCGGAAAGAGCGTTATTTTATATGGTAGTCGCGATGGTTATCGAATTTTTACAGACAGAGTAGCATAAGGAAAAGGCTGGTCATGGTACGGCCCAGTCACGGAAGCACCACCAGAGCCAAATTACGTAAGCATTTTGCAACCTGCGATTGCAGTACCAGTCTGTTCAAAAAGGGGGGGCACCCCCATAGGTATTTTCAGTTGAAAGACGGACTTTGCCCCTCCACATGCTTATCATGTGCTTGCTTTTCAACCTGACAGAGGGCAGAGGAGCGGCGTGGTATTGCAGTTAGCGAAAAGGTATACTTCTACTACTTAGACTTCGTCCGCTAAGGGCGATTTCCTATGCCTGATTCGTATTGGGGTGATAGTGAGCATCGTGGAGGGATAGTTAATATATTCTGTACGAGGAAAGAGGTGGGGATGGAAGTGCATGCATAAAGTACGCTAGACGTAGTAGTCTAGTCTCTGATTGGACTTTGACGCGTCGTGATCAAAAGAGGAACAACAGAAACGACGCGTCGCGCTTCCACTGCTCGCGCGCGCCGCCCTATCACATCCAACCAGTCACACTCGCCGTCGTCAATGCGAGATAGTCCATGAACCTAGAGGTCTTTTGGGGCCGGTTTGCTCTCCCCATTTGCATCTGAACGCGCAAGGCCAGCAGTGCAAGTAAACACTACATGTAGACATTCATGAGAAGATCGGGTACTGTAGACTCTGGGCCATTACCTATAATCGCGTTGCCGTGCTTTACCCAGATCAGATCCTCGCTTGGCCCTCTCCGAATTGCCCAGGATACGTTGATGCGAGAAGGTAAAAGCGGATACGCTACCGCAGTGCAGCTGTATTGCATACAGCCAACCGTCGACAAGAGCTGGACCGGGGAGTGACTGCCAAGCCAAGACTTCCAACGTACGTTGGTGTCCGGTCAGATCCACACAGCCCGCGCCCCGAGGCCCTGTTCATCCCCTGTCCATCCCCTGTCACAGTCCCCTGCCGAGCCCCTGCACTCCCTCTCGAGCTTGCCATCATCGTGTCAGCGCAGAGCGCTCCCCTCCAATCCTTCCTGCCCTCTTCGTCCCCAAACCGGAATTCCCGACTCCACCCTGTCCCACTCGGCTGCATCCACTGCTGAGTTGGCCGTTTGCCAGGCTCGCCAGGCCACGAGTGGGCGGCTGCTGCTTCCAGGTTCTAGTTCATCCTCCCACTGCATCTGTTCGGCTGCACTTCACCCAGACTTCCTCTGTGTCTTGCCCTCTTGCGATACGTGCCCAGCTCGCCAGGCCCGTCCACGACTCCGGTTCTCCTTTCCACCGTCCAACTCTTCCCGTCTTGTCTGCGCATCTGCCTGTCGTCTGGCTCTTGTCTCTTGTCAATCCGCACCAACTGGGCTGCCTGGACGCCGCCTTGGAAGTGGAGGCCGTTTAGAGTTCGTCTCTCGACCGCCTGTCTCGCCTGTCCAACTGTCGCCGGCGCTTGCACAGCCCATTTGACCACTCGAGCCAGATCGGGCCTTCCCCTCGCTTTTCTTCCCTGTCTGTCACCTGTCTCGCGTCCCTTCCACTTCAACTCATCCCGTACAACATTCACACTTTTCTCTCCCTCCTTGCTAAGTTGTCGCCTCGCCTTTTCAGTCTTTCGATAGTATCGGTTTTAATAGCACGGACCGTTGGTTTTGGGACAATCGGCACTTGGCAAGAGTCCGACAACCACGCACTATAATATCTTTGTACAAGACCGCAGTGTTCTCTGCCCTCCTGTACCATCGGCAGCCACCCTTGCACCCGTCTCCACAGCTCATTCAAGTCGTCGCTCGGATCAAGGTGAGTGACTCCCTTCCAATTGGCATCAAATCTGCTCACCGTCATGCAGACGAGTCCGCTGTAACAAGTCTCCATTCCTTAGACGCTCTTCTTCCTCCCCGTCGAAGCCAGGGCAGCATAGGTCACGACAGCTCTCACGATACACACTTCGCTCCGA